TATTGAATATTGCTTTTTTAAAAAAATTGCTGTGTTATTTTTTGAGCTGCCCAGAGTCAGCCTGAAGTCAGGCAATGCCAAAACTGAATGCAATAAATGAAATAAAATAAATTGGATTGTTCCTATGTGACCTTTCCCACAAATCCCAGGGAGTCCCTGGTTTTCCAAGAAACTCTAGGAGATGAAATGACTGAAGAGATCCCTAGAGTGCCTGCTCTCTGGAATAATATTCCCTTAGAGGTTTAAATAATCCTGACCTTGCTATCCTTTAAACTGGATTAGGGGAGTATATGCCTTCTGTTAGATTTTATTTATGTGTTGGGTATATTAGTCCCAGGTTATCACTGCCTTTTTTCTTTTATTGTATCAGGTGCATTTTTAACTTGTACAGCACCCAGAGTTGTTATGAACAGCCTTGTAAATTTGATCAATAAATTAATCGTGATCATATTGCAGCTAGCAGCCATCTCAGTCTGAGCACTGGGGATAACATATGTGATGTCAGGAGCTATAGAAAGCACATGCTTTAATATAACGCTTTAATTCTAAAAACGTTTTATATAATCCCAGTGGAAGACCGTCCCAGTGTGATTCATTGTAGGGAAAATAAATTATTAATTTATGTGACATGAGCTCAGATTTTATTTCCTAATGTACACACACGTTAGTACATCGTCAGCATTTTCACATTTTGTAAGTAGAATTTAAAATATAAAGTAGACCCATTAAAACAAGTAAGAGAAGTTAGTTGCGATTACTGTAGATTCAGTTGACTGCTTACACAGAAGTTTAATGTGAAAGCTTGGGGGGGTAGTTTCTTCTTTCTATTTTTATTGACCTTATGGCTATAGAATTTACTTTGTTCTAGATAAGGCAGCTGAGCCACAGGCTTTGACATTGCCCAGAATTAGAAGACTGTCCTGACTGAATGCAGGGGATTGACCATATGCTTCTTCCATTGACTAAATTGAACTGAGTTATTTCCATAGAGCTATTAATGTGTGCAGAACCTATCTGGTAGTACTCTCGTGGTAGTCCGCATTTCTCCTTGTCACAGAGATGGCCTTGAGGGAAATATTCAGATGCCATTACAAAAACAAAAAGGGCAGAAACATACCTTGAACCCTGGAAAAGGAGTGTTGCGGCCAAAACCCGGCACACCTAAAGCAACCAAATCACTTTGAAGATACAACATAATTTTATTTGCATGCATATAAGCAATAATAGAGCATTATGATTGTTGTTGGTGTTGGTGGTTGTTGGTGTTATTATTATTGTATTTTGAGGCCACCTGACTCCATAGTTACTCTAGGCAGCTTACAGATAAAAATTAAAAGAGAACAAAATGTGTCAAGAAGAAAAAGAAGACAGCTAAGTGGAAATTAAAACCCAAGAAGCCAAGCAGCCAACAGCCAAGCAAAGAGGCTCGACTCCCATTCTAGCCCAGGGCCTGGGAGAACAACCAGGTCTTAGCAGTGATGAAAAGTCAGAAGGGTAGGAGCAGTAGTCTCTCCGGGGACGTATCATTCCATAGAGCAGAGCCATCACTAAGAGCATGCTTCCTAGGTGCAGTAAGATGTTGCTGCTTAATGGATGGGACCTAATAGGCTGGCTCCCCTTTGACTCCTTGGGTTATAAGAGGCAGGGGAGGGAAAGCCCACATTGGTTAACGTAGCCTGTCTCAACAGAACTTAGTTCTGGCCCTCTTGTGGAGTTTGTTTCCTAATCTGGACAACTTGAAGAGCTGACACCACACTTACCAAGAGGAATCTGTGTTGTCTTGTCCAGAAAATTGTATTCTTGTTGATTCATTCTTAGTAAAACCACTGAGTCTAGAGTAAATTCAATGCATGATCTTAACATTTGGCTTTTCTTTTTAAAGGACAATGGTGTCCTCCAAATACAGTGAGGCAAAAAAGTATTTAGTCAGCCACCAATTGTGCAAGTTCTCCCACTTAAAAAGATGAGAGAGGCCTGTAATTTTCATCATAGGTATACCTCAACTATGAGAGACAAAATGAGTCCCACTTAAAAAGATGAGAGAGGCCTGTAATTTTCATCATAGGTATACCTCAACTATGAGAGACAAAATGAGTCCCACTTAAAAAGATGAGAGAGGCCTGTAATTTTCATCATAGGTATACCTCAACTATGAGAGACAAAATGAGTCCCACTTAAAAAGATGAGAGAGGCCTGTAATTTTCATCATAGGTATACCTCAACTATGAGAGACAAAATGAGTCCCACTTAAAAAGATGAGAGAGGCCTGTAATTTTCATCATAGGTATACCTCAACTATGAGAGACAAAATGAGTCCCACTTAAAAAGATGAGAGAGGCCTGTAATTTTCATCATAGGTATACCTCAACTATGAGAGACAAAATGAGTCCCACTTAAAAAGATGAGAGAGGCCTGTAATTTTCATCATAGGTATACCTCAACTATGAGAGACAAAATGAGCCCCATGGAAAACCTTTGGAGGGAGTTGAAAGTCCGTGTTGCCCAGCGACAGCCCCAAAACATCACTGCTCTAGAGGAGATCTGCATGGAGGAATGGGCCAAAATACCAGCAACAGTTTGTGAAAACCTTGTAAAGACTTACAGAAAACATTTGACCTCTGTCATTGCCAACAAAGGATATATAACAAGGTATTGAGATGATTGGAAGGATCGATAATGAAGCTCAAGCTCAGATACTTTGGTCACCTAATGTGAAGAGAG